TACGCGGCTCCGAACCACCCACGCTCGCCTCGGTGCACGACGACAGCCCCGCCGCCGCATCTTCGTCCACAGCGCCGCGCCGCAGCCACACGCTCGGCGCCTCGCACCTCACCTCGTCGCCGTCGGCGCGAGCGCAGCTGCGGGCGTCGGTGCGCGCGGCGGCGCGCATCAACGGAGTGCCGTCCACGCCACGCACCGCCACCGCCGGCAACGGCGCCGCCGGCTCCAAACGCATGATGGCCGAGATGATGGCCAAGATGAAGGCGCTCGAGATGCGCATCAACACGGCCAAGGATCTGTCGCGCGTCGTGTACCGCGCCGACGAGAGCGCCATCCCGCGGCCCAGCAGCCGCATGGCCGGCGCCCTCCACAGCCCCTCGGGTGGCGGCGGCGGCGGCGGTAACAGCTCGATGCACATCCCCTCGTCGACGCCGCGCGCGCCGCGGCTGAGCATGGACGGCAACCGGACGATCGGGTCGTCGATCCCCGTGGCTGCGCGCGTGCGCCGCCCGAGCTCGCGCATGTCCGAACGCGGAACGCCGCCGATGCCCAGTCTGGGCCTGCCGCGCGCACAGACGCCGAGCGGGCTGCATGCGCGTGCACCCAGCCGCACAGGACCGTCGCCGCTGCCGCTCGAATTCATGGAGCACGACCCAGCAGCGACGCTGCCGCACGTGGCGCGCTATGCTGCAGCGCAGGCGGCGTTGGGTACCGCACCGGGGTCGGCACAGCCAGCCGCACGACGCAGGAGTAGCGTGTCGGGCATGGTGCATTCGTCGTCGTACGGCTCGCTCGCCAAGATCCGCACGGGCACAGCCGCAGCATCGCTGCGTGCAGCCACACCGGGCGATCGTGTAGTGGCTGCGGCAGCGGCAGCGGCGGCGGGAGGTGGTGGGGCAAGAACACCGCTGTCGGCGCGGTTGGCGTCTGGCCACCGCACAGGCTCGAGCGCCAGGGGCAGTGTCAACGGACCACCGAGCTCGTGGAAGTCGACAACCGCGACGGCGACGACGGCCACACTGAGCCGCAGCCGATCCGGCTCGCTGGGCTCGTTAGGTTCAGTCGAATGATGGGGGAGCAATCATTGTATAACAGCTGTAGTACATGCGTGTCTGAGTTAGAGTCTGGGTTTGGGAACACTGAGTCGGCTGAACTTGACGTTGTTGACGAGGCTACCCAATCCGCCGTTACCCCAGAGGTGGCAGGTATCTCCATGGGCGAGGGCGACTTTGGGGTTACGCTTGAATCCCTCACCTGGGGGCGTGCCCATGCTGACGATGTCGCCTGGCTTGAGCGTTGTACCTTTGCTGAGATGGGCTAGGGTTTCGGCGGTTTTCCACAGCATGTCGGCGGTATTGCCGTCCTGCATGACGCGATTGTTGAGCTTGGTTGTCAGGTGGACGTTGTCGGGATTGCTAATGCCGCGGGGGTTTGTGGCTGACACCAGGCACGGGCCCAGGGGGAGCCAAGTATCAAAGGACTTGCCTAGACCCCATTGGGGCACTGCAAACATTCGAGTGCGTGCCGAAACGTCGTTCGATAGCGTATACCCCAACACGGCCTTCATTGCCTGCTGCGGTGTGGCGTCCTTGAGCGTTTCGCCGAGCACGACGACAAGTTCGACTTCATAGTCGCTTTCATCCTCGGCACATTCGGGGATCACAATGTCGCAGCCTGGACCAGTGATGGTCGTCGTGGGTTTGTAGAACAGAATCGGCAGAACCGGTCGATTGGCCAGTGCGGTCGCGGCATCCTGACCCGTTTGAATAAAGTTGGCACCAAGTGCTCGAATCGATGGCACTTCCGATGGCAGTAGGGGTGGCAGAAGAGTCGAGACCGTCTTGATGACACCCGACAGTGGCGTGCTGCGTTGAGTAGGATCCAGCGGGTTGGCGTAGAGCACATTGACGCGAATCGGACCCGCCGAATTGGCATAGGCTACACCGACGTCCAGCGTGTCATCCTCGGGTTGTCCGAAGTAGGTCTGCGCATCCTCGCGCGCGATAAAGCGGATCAACCGCCACCAGGGTGTTGCACCAGCCATCGTTGGAAATGTGCGAGATATGGAGGGAGAGACGGAAATATGGTCGGAAGGATCAGGCTGCCGACCCGTTGCCCCGCACTTGCCGCACTTTGAGACCGGGAAAAACCTCCACTTGAACGCGGCATGACGCCGATGCCCAAAATGACACCTCTGTCGGGCGCGCTCCGGGCTGCTCCCAAGCTCGTCTGCATGCCGATCGTTATGTCCGGTGCCGTATCGCTCTGCAAGCTGCGGCGGCTGGGGCTGACACACCGAGGTCGCTCAGTCCGTGCGCCTCCAGCCCTTCGCAATGCGTTATAAGCCGGGCTTTTGCAATCCTCACGGACGTCTCTGCTACCGCACAGTCCTTATGTCCTTTCGGATCGCCCCCATCACCCGCACTCTCCCCCAAAACCTCACTGCCCTGCGCCAGTTTAGCACCTCCCTCAAGTCCAACATGAAGCCCGTCCAACTCTACACCGCCGGCACGCCCAACGGCCAGAAGGTCTCGATCATGCTCGAGGAGATCAAAGCCCTCAACCCTTCGTTCACCTACGAGACCCATGCCATCGACATGAGCAAGAACGAGCAGAAGGAGGAGTGGTTTTTGAAAATGAACCCCAACGGCCGAATTCCAACTCTTCTGGACCCGAACAATACCGCGACGGAGTCCGAGGGATTTCCCGTCATGGAATCGCTCGCGATCATGCTCTACCTCGAGAAGCTCTACGATGATCAACATGCCTTTTCATGGCCCGACAGCGATCCCAAAGCACAGAACTATCGTTCGCAGGTACTCCAGTGGTCCATTTGGCTTCAGTCTGGCCTTGGACCAATGCAAGGGCAGGCGAACCACTTCCGAATGCAAGCTACGGGCGACTCGAAGAACGTAGTCCCTTACGGACTGAAGCGATACCACGACGAGACGGTAAGGCTCTATGAGGTGTTGGAGCGCGGACTCGAGGGCCGCGACTACCTGGTGGGCGACGGCAAGGGCAAGTACTCGCTCGCGGATATGATCACCTTCCCCTGGGCGCTGTGGTACCGCTTCGCCGGCATCCGCAACGACGAAGTGGGCCCCAACGTCAAGGCCTGGATCGAGCGAATCAAGCAGCGACCTGCCGTCCAAAAGGGTCTGGCTGTTCCTAAACCCTCGGAACTCCTCAAGAACCTCGAAGACGTAAGTCCCCCCCACCATCCCCACAGCTAAAGAAACAGAAGGGTTCAACTGACAATGCTTGCGAAAACCAGCCCAACTGGATGCCTCCCATGCCCGAGCTTTGATTTTCTCACTCCCGCGCTTCATCGTTGCGCTTTGAACTGCAATTTCACACTCCTGACCCCCCTACAAACGGGGCGGGGAACGATCATTCTAACTACGAGCTGCATTGGCTGGTGATGAGGCATGTCAACGTCATGAGTTGGTGTTGAAAAACACAGCCAGTTTGCAGCTTGAGAGTAGGGCGCTTAGATGCCCTGCTCGAGCAGAGCGTTGAGCTTGTTGACCTTGGAGGCGACCGAGAGGTCGACGGTGTTGCCGGCAAAGTCGACCACCAGACCGCCCTGGATGGCGGGGTTGACCTTCTGGACGATGCGCAGCGTCTTGCCGTTGCCCTTGGCGGCGATCTGCGAGCCCTTGAGTGCCGACTCGATGCGCGAGATGGTCGACTTGTCCAGCTGCGTGGCCGAGGTCACCGTCACCTCCACCTCGCCGCGGTAGGCCGTCATGAGGTCCTGGAAGCCCTCGATCACCTTTTCCGTCTCGGCGAGACGGCCGTTCTCGGCAAGAACCGTGAAGAGGTTGCTACGAATTTCCCAGCACACAAGCACGATGCGGTGACAAAACGTCAGTACAAACCGATTGGGAAGCGAGAGGCGGTTTCGGCGGGAACTCACTGCGTGATGGGGTCGGCCTTGGACTTGCCCGAGGAGAGCAGCTGTTCGAGGCCCTTGGTGCGGTCCGAGGCGCTGAGCGTGGGGTTGGCGATGAACGTCTTGAGCTTGGCGCCCTCGGCACCGGCGAGCGCGGACTGCACCGACTTGAGGTCGGCCTCGACCTTCTCGAGCGTCTTGGCGTCCTTGGAGAGCGCAGCGACGTATGCCGACGATGCGTACTTGCCTGCAAGTCCAAAGCATTCGCGCACAAGCAAATGTACCAGAGGGTGTAAGTCACAAGTCGAAGAAAGATGGGGTCTAGTGCAAAGACGTCGAAAACGTACCGGCAAGACCATCGAGCTGGCGGGGAGCTCGGACGGCGGCGGCCTGCGAGGCGTAGCCTCGGGTAGCCTGCTGTGGAAGACGACCGCACAGAACGGAGTAGCGGGGTTCGTCAGCAAAGTTGGTCGTAGGTTGCGGGCGAAAGACGTTCGCAAGATGGATCAGTGCGCAGGTGCCGCACGTATGCGCAGGGATGCAGCTGCATGGTCGACCGAGAATGTGTGCGCGCGTATATGTGTGTGTGTCGACCGTGCGATCCGCAAAGCAGTCTCCTGCGAATCTGCTGCAACTTTTGCGGCTGTGCGGCTGTACGGTGGTAGTCGCGGTGGCGTGCTGATGTTGGTGCTAGTTGGGGAGACCTACCTGGAAGAGACGGGGGGTGAAACGGGCGGCCATGGCTGTGGTGTGTGAGGTGAGAGAGATGATAAAGGGGAGAGGCGAGAGCGTGTGTGTGGAGAGAGAGAGATGATGTCGGTAGCGACGACCGACCTTCGAGCGGCAGCAGCAGCAGCAGCAGCACCAGCGACGATTTCACCTCTCTCTCGGCCCAGACGCCCTCGCAGCCTCAACGCCTGGCTGCCAGTGCGATTTCTTCTTGTTGGAGCTGGCTGCCGTGCCTGCCGTGCCTGCCACGCCCGAGAGCTGCCCAACAGTCGCAATTTTCCGCGCCCACCGATCGGTTCCGCAAGTGCGCGGTGGGCCATTGTATCGGACGAGAGGGGGGCTCGAAAGCCAAACTTAACATTGCTTGAGACGGTCCCCGCTATGCACCCACTTTGGCTGGCCGTTCTCCTCCTACCACACTTTCTGCCGCGTCAGACAAGTACGGGCTGACACACGCCTTTACATGCTGCTCTTGTAGCTGGTTTGATCTCGCAGAAGCACTGATGATGAGGGGCCCTTTGTTGCAAGTGCAAGGTGTTGGAGAGCCAATAGGCGCCAATCAGACGGAGCCCTGGCGGCAGTTGAAGCGGCTGCCGTTTGAATTGGCCAATTTGGCAGGCTTTCGAATTCGACCACTAGAAAATCGCGGCGGGTCCAAAAGCTCGAATTTGAATCCCTGGCCAGGGTTGAAGCTGAGGCAGAGGCTGAGGAGAGGCTGAGGCTGCAAGAAGAAAACGAGCGAGAAGAAAGTGGGCGCGCGTGCTCCAGTGGTGGAAGAGCAGCGAGCAAGGAGAAGGAGAAGAAGCGCGTGTGTCTCTGGCGTGGTGGACTCTCTCTCTCTCTCTCTCTCT